TAGTTTACACCAGCCTGAGACTCTTATTGTAAATTCATGACTTGAAGGAAAAGGCATAAAATACCCTGAAAAAAAAGATGCATTGTTTCAATAAGGAAAAAAATTAAGCTAAGTTATGATAGCATTAGCAATAGCAGCTGCTTCCTGGGTTAATAGTCGCATTGTTTTTGGTAGAATTGCTTAAAGAGAAAATAGTTAATGTTGTCCGAGTTGGAAAATTAGTTCACACATCTGTTTGCTGAATGTGTACTCATGCTAGAATCAAAGCAGTATAAATTCTGTTTAACCTTTGTGTGTGTGTATGTACTCATTTTTCAGACTGCTGCAAGTGAGGAGAGAATCTCTGGTCATGATTTCCTTGTTGGACACATTTACAGGGGTGTGGAAACATTGGGAAAGGAACTTTTTATGTATTTTGATCATAAAGCTTTGAGGTAAGAAATGAGAAAAAGACTTCCTATGCATTTAGACTGATTGTATTTGGTGGATTATCTTGTTTTTGCTAATGTCAGTTTCAAAGGTTTGAAAGCATTATGGAGAAACTCATCAGCCTCTTTGCAGTGCTGGAACTACTGATATAGTTACATGTTCAGGTGATTTACTGCTTTTGTCTTAGTCTAAGATTTCATGAAAAGGTCTCTGAAAAGGACAGTTGGTCTTTAAAATGCTTTGTTTCAAATAGGAAATACTTGTCATAGTTCTAGAAACTGTATTTAAACAAGTCTTGTTAGCCAAGTCACTGATGGGAAACCTGGTAGAAATTATGTATGGGAAAGGTCTCTATGCGGGAGGCAGAAATTACTTATTATCTGATATTGAAGATCTTAATTCTCTTGTTTTAAATGCATCTTGTGGATCTTAAAGATGTTAAAGGAGGGTAGATGAAGGCTTCAGAAAATGTGTCTTACAGCAGTGTAAGATTGGCTGTCAGGAGACAAAATAAGAAGTACACCTACAGAGGATGTATTACTCTTTATTAAAGTTAACTCTTAAATATAGAACTTTCTTGTCATGGGTAAGGTTACTGGTATATAGATTTTATATCTGTACACATTTTCTTAATAAGACCAGCTTTTCTCTTCTGCTAAGATTGCCTATAAAAAGCTGGTGGTCATGCTGGAATAATGTCAGACACATCTTGTGAAAGACTGGGCCATGAAGGCTAATTAACTAATTTTTTTCTCAAGTGGGGAGTGACTTCCTGGTGGGAGAAGTTAACCTGGCCATTAAAGTGTTTTATGCAGTTTGGCTACTGCTCCTTTTAAACAGTATGCTGGAAGTTGGTAAATGAAAACCAGCTATTAATGTGAATGCCATATCTTTAAAAATAACTTTCTGGAAGCATTTAGTACATTACCATTTGCTAGTAAGATGCAAGAATTTGGTTTAAAACGAGCTTTGTCTAAGTTTAAAACTAAGTTTGGCTAGTTAAGCCTGTGCAGTACTATTCATGGCACTTGAGAATTGAAAATGGCAATTGAAAATAAAAGTGGCTGAAACAACTGTATCACCTGAATTGACTTGTAAGAAGAGTGTTTTGGAAAGACACAGGTTTTTAAAAACTGAGAAAAATAAATGCTATGAGGAAGCTACTTAGAGAGTTGCCCTTTAGACTATGTTTAATGATGTCTTAACCCATCTGTAAATATTTAAAATGCCTGTCCTTCCTGAAATGTAAGAAAGAAGGGTTGAAAGGAAATACACACCATATGCTGCATTTTTTTCGTTGTTTATGTAGTTTAATCTGTTAAATCTTTTTGTAACTGCAAAATGATCCACTTTTTCTCATCTACAGTCTATAGTAGTAGTAGGACATGGGTTTTAGGACTTGAATGTACCAGGTGAATTTGTAATGAATAAAATGTATGAGATAATAGTCAAATTTGTCCTTTGCTCAAGCACACTAGCTCCTGGTAGAATATACTATAAAATGTAAGACCTCTTAAAGCACTAGTGATGTGTAAAATGAATGCTTGAAAGAGTCTATTCTTCTACTTTGCCATCTGTGCATTTTTCAGTTTGTTTCTTTTATTAATTTTTAATCAACCTGCTGCTTTTGCCTTGGCTGTAAGCAAAGGAAAGCAGAAGACAACATATGGCAAATATTAATTACTTTGTTTATGGTGTTATTGGATGTAGTTGCGATGTGATAACAGGGTTGGCAATGTGGGGACTGAAATCTTTCCTTTCATACAAGATGAATTCTGCCTGATTTAACAGAAAATTGTCTGGTAAAGTGGCCTCATTTCTTTCAGGCTCCCTGAAGGTCTAAGAACCTATGTTGGAAGACCAGCACGTCAAGTGAAAAAAATTCTAAGTGCAACACACCAGAAAAGTGTGTCACTTAATGATCAGGCCTGACTTCTTTATAATGAATTCTGAAGACTGCTGGAAAACTGCCGTGTTTTGGAGTGGTTTTGATTTTAGGAGGGTTCTTTCTTCTCTAGTAATTGAGCACTATATAAAGCAAATAGTTTGTTGCTGTGTTACTGGTAATAACTAGAATTAATGTACATATATACTGACTTGGTTAGTCAAGGTTCATAAATTCAAAAAATAGAACTGGTGTTATGCTTGGAAATATTTTTAACTTAAAATAACTATAAAAGATCTCCTTCTCTCCAAGGATTCACTTCGGTATGAACGGTTCCATGTGCATTAATCCTGATGGAAGCAAAGACAGAAATGGAGCACTACCGGTTTTGGAGATACAGCTTACAGAGGATACTGTTTGTTTTTTTGATGTGACAGTAGAGTATAGGTAAAGCAGAAACTAACCAAATTGAACAATTTGATTTATTTATTTTTATAACATTCTTTTAAGAACATAATGAATAATCACGCAAAAATTGTTAAGTGCTTGGATGCTATCAAGACAAAACTTTCTAAACATATATTTATTGGTATGGTAATTTAGTTTTGTTACTTTGTATCAGAGCTTACATACAGTTAAAGTAATTTTAAGCTGTAGTCTCATTAGATAGTTTCAAGACTGGGAATGAAAGTTTGGTTTAATTCAATCCTTAGATCTGAATGCTGAATTCCATTGCTTCTTTACTTTCCATGCAAGTCTCGCTTCCTTAACAAGAGTAAAAACCTGTCATGATTACTGACTTCAAATTTTTATGCTCCCAAGGTTGGGTTTTTATTTTTCTTTTTGGAATCAAATTGGTATAATTGTTCTAATTTACATTAAGTGGATCTTTATGTCTATCACCATTGTACTTCACACTGCTAATAAAAATTACAGCAAGCTGGATTTTAAAGTGTTTGAGGCTCTTGAGAGAAAAGGAACATGTAAATTCAAATAACTTATATATACGTGTTTAAAATTACAAAACGTAAAAGCTTATGTAAGTCTGAGACTTCTTGTTCTTACTATTTTTAAATGATTATGCTTAAACTAATAAAATAAAAATGTATCTTAAAAATATAAATATATATATAGTCACGTTGTAACTACCAGGGATAAACTACTATTTTGTATATATATTATATATATTAGTTTGTTTATCATTATTGTAGTATATTTATATATGCAAAATATATATATGCACACACATATAATATCATGTTGTAACTACTGGACTGTGTCACCAGTTAGTTATATTTGATGGTCCAAACACAGAGAGGGGTGGTTAATGTAACTTCTGTGCCTCTTCCTGTCACTGGTATTTTCATGGTTTCTATTATATGCATATAATGTTCTGTAATACTATATTGTGTTCTTTTTAAAACCATGCTGCTATATTGGAATACTTTTAAAATAAAAATAAATCTTAATGAATTTTTTCTCTTCCAGAAATGCAGCTGAGAGTGAGCAGAAAGTGAGAATGATGGAAAGCTTGGATGTCTGTTCTCCAAAGTTTAGCTTTTCAAGAGCAGAAAGTGAGATTAAGCAGCACAAAACCCGCATGTTGTGTGATGTGTTACTGGATCAAACAGTATTACCTGGAGTGGGAAATATCATAAAAAATGAAGCACTGTTTGATAGTGGTCTTCATCCAGCTGTGGAGGTGAATGAAATGTCTCAAGATGGTTTTAATGACACCTAAGCATTAACAAAGAGCCTCTGATAATAGGTCGTATCATAATTCATGAGGAAATTAGGAGGGAAGTAAGAGTTGTTAACTCTGTGTGATTTGTGTGATCATTAACTCTTTGGTCAATTTGGGGAAGACAACTGAGATTTTTACCAAGTCTTTTGCTTGGATGAGGGAGTGCACATTGTTTGGTATGCAAGCAGTGATTTTGTGTGGTATAGAATGTGAACATATACTGTTTTGCTGAGATGATACATATAATGTGAAGTCAGAATTATCATAACATGAAGCAATGCAATTCCATATCAGTGTTCAAAGTGCCTCAATAGGTCTTTTTTCTGTTTTCTCTTAGCATTGTAATATTCTAAAAATCATTCTTGTCTTTCTTACAGGTTTGCCAACTGACAGATGAGCATATACGTCACTTGGTGAAAATGACACGTGATTTTACCCTGCTTTTCTATAAGGTATTGGCACATGTTTCTCAGAAGCCTCCAAAACATGACTCTGGCTCGTGACTCAGCTGTATGTGGTCATCCAGTGAAAAGAGTAAAAAGATGGAACAGGACAAGTGTTTCCATGGATAGGAATGTTGAACTGTGTGCTCTTTATTATTTGTGAATTGTCAAATGACGAAAAAGTGGAGGAGTCAAAACTGTCAAAGTATGCACAGACTGGCCCAGAAGAGTTTCACAGATGTTGCCTGAAGGCCAGTTCAGTTTTTCTGTATATGTGCTGTAACATCACTCTGAACATGTCAGAATTGAAGTAGGTTAAACACAAACTTACATGTCAGATAACATAAAGGTCAGTCTTAAAACTTGGAACCAGAGATTGCCCCAGGGAATTATGAAGGTAATTCATGTGACTTCCTTTATGAAACTTATATAACAAGTATATTTATTTGACTAAATAGGTCATAACTTCTAACAACTTATTTTTTTCCTAACTGAAACAATGGTTTACATTGCTAAAATGAAATAAATTGCAGTTTCTCCCTACTACCACAACTCCATTAGGATTTAATTTCTTCCCCTGCAAAGTCTGTAAGTCCTTGTTGCTCTTTAACTTTCCACAATAGAAAAAGAGAGAATATATGACCTAATCCTTCTGCATTTTGTTTCTTTAAGCTGCATGCAAAGAAATGAACAGCAATGGTGAAATTCTTGTCTGTTTCTCTTGGTCTTCCTCAAAGCAAGGAGCTAGTGCTGCTAAAACATCTCTTTTTTGGTAGGTTAGGAGGAGATCACCTAACTTTCCTAATATTGTCTTTCAATCATTAGGCGAAAAAAGTGATTTGTTTAATCAATTAGTCTGCTTAACTGCTTGCTTTCCCTCAACCCACTGAGGAGTCCTTTTAGTTTGTTGTCTGTGGAAATCTTTTCTTTCTCCAAACTTCACCAGCAAAGAGATAGCATGTACTTCTGCAACCACTATGATACTAGGAAATCTAAACGTGTCACAGGCTTTTAGACTGATAATAAACAAGTCTTAACAAATAGTTAAACTTTCTGTTGCTCAGTGTAGCCATTTTTAAAACTTTTACAATCAAAACTTAGCAAGTATTCAACAGTCAAGTGCTTTTAAGAGCTAGCGTCTCCTTCTAAGTCTCCATAATGAAAATATGCTAATGTGAGGCATAGTGCTTAATAATTTTTTATAGACTGTTATAGATTGTTTGTACTAATCATACTGTATCATTACAGATGCAAAGATGAAAAGTCTTGTTTATATAAAAAGCTGTTGCTTTAGTTTGGTTTTGACATAACTGGATGGGAAAAAAACTACTCATAAAAAACTGACTGTAAACCTCGAGAAAAAAGCAAACTGCTGGTGAATATTCATGCCAATATATATTATTAATTCCTTCTGATTGAATTACTAGGTTGTACCGGCGCGAGCACTCTCATTCAGCAAGGCTGATGAATAAAAGCACAGCAGAAGCAAATATGCTGTGCTCAGGGACACCTGTACTTTGGGAGAACTCCAAGAGTCTTCATACCATTATGGAGCTAGAGCTATTGAACCCTGCCAGAGCTGAGCGGGTACTGCTGGGCCAGCTGTGGTATTGTTTGAACTGTGCCCAAGAAATTGCTGTTGTAGTGCAGAAACTCGTGTGGCTCTGCAGAGTTGGCTGAATCTCTACTGGGCTCTTGCTTGGTTTTTTGACACTTTTTAGCTATATGAATTCTCTCATGAGATGTGCCTGCCTGTCAGCTGTCTGGAGACTATTTAGGCCACTGTGCCCTTGGGCTTGTACTGTGCTTAATTTAATATGACTTTCTGCCAGGATCTATGGAGCTTACCGTACTGCCAAGTGGCTTTGCATGAGCCAAGTTGTTTGGCATGGCCAGGGTGAAGATGAAGCTGAGGAACTTTACTGGGCACTACCCAACATTTACAGAATCCCTGGAATATTTCTGCATTGCACAATTCTTTAGGTTTTGGGAAGGCAGATTGACCCAGGTTGTAGCATCAGGTTTGATGCTCTGTGGTGTGTTTTTTATTCTTTTGGTGGTGAGGGAAGGTGATATTGGTTTTGTCGTTTATCTTTGTTTTATTTTTGTTTTCTATGCTGCATTGATTGGACCTTATTATCTCTTCAAGAATACTCCTACAGGTGCCAGGTCAAAGATGACTGGTGCTAAACCAGAGCTGGTCCAGCTAAATTCAGGGAGTTCCTAGCATGTATTTGCTTGCACCATGCTAGTATGGTTTTTTTTGGTCTATCTTTTATTCCATTGTGTAGAGAATTATAGACACTTTTATACTTGATTTGTCAATTTTTTAACATAAAACAATATGAAATACAGATATAGCCCTTATGAGTGTGCCTTAAATATCTCCATCTAGTCACTGAGTTGTCAGTTTAAGTAGGGTTATTTTTATTTTAGCTTCAGACTCACATAAAATTTATACTGAGTCTCTAACATGGATTTATATGTGTTCTGTTTTAGTGCCGCAAAACTGGGTCCCCACTCTACAAACACTACAAAGTGTACAAGCACCCAGCCTGTGGTCAGTGCAGTGGGAACATCACTGTATGTCGTTTAGGAGAGAACAACAGGATGACTTACTTCTGCTCCCGGTGTCAAAAGGTGGATCCCCAGCTTGTCAATCTTAGGTATGATAGTAAATTTGTGACACTTCTAAGCACGTCAAAGTGTTGCTGCAGTAAGGGAACATCTCTTTTCAAATAGAATGGATCCCTGTGCATTTTATAACTAAATAAACTCTATGCTAGATGAGGACAGGACGCCTTGCAAAAGAAAAATGTTTTGTACGTTGGTATTTAAAAATAGTTAGAATCTTTGCTTCTTTGATACTATTTCTTTCAAAAGCTCCATCTGTCATGAAGTAATTATTACTTTCATCAAATGCAGGAATTTGATTAAAGACAATTCAGAGTATTGAGAATTATTTACTAAAATTAATTCACTGGAAACGTTGCCCCTTGTTCTTGGTGTTATCAGTATAGTGGGCTTGGGCGTTTACATACAACTGAGTTGAATACCATAAAGCAGGAATTTGTGTCTCTTTTCACAGGATAGCCCCCTCACAGCTGTGCATCTATGAAATTTTGTTCTAGCTATAGAGTTATAATATATATACTGGCTATAGAGTTTTACTAAAACTTCAGTTAATTCAGAGTGCAGCAAATATTGTAGGGGCTTAGAATTTTTTCTTTTCTTCCTCCTTATCGGTTTTAAAAAGCTTTTGCTATACGTGTGCCATAGAGGCACTTTCAGTTCCACATAAATTGTACTAGCAGCAGCTTTCCTCCTTTTATTTCAGGAAAGCAGAAAATGTATTTGATATCACAAAGGGTCAAGAGGTAGAAGTTCCAAAAGCATCTTATTCAGGCTTAGATACCTAAGTTATTCTTGAAAATTTTCATCTGAGGCTTCAGAATTTTGCCTTTTTATACTGAACTCTGTCAATCTAAGATGCTGCTTCACTTTGCAAACTTTGCCTTCATTAGTGTGTGTGTGTATGTATATATATATATATATATATACACACATTTTTAGATAAGATTTACGGAACACACAAATCCCTCTCCTAGCTCCAAGCTTCTTTTAAGACTCAGATGGCTGAAGGGATTTTGGTTAAAGCTTAAAAATCACTTTTGAGTACAGATCAAATATAGAAAATTCCAGCATGGAAGATAAATACTTCGCATGCTGATAACCCCAATCTGCTGTATTTTTAGAAAGTAATAATGAGAGATACTTTGCAGAAGGATAGAAAGACAGCAATGTTCCATTGAGTCAGATAATGAGAAAATGATGCAAGGAAAAAATATCTCTCTCTGTTCTAGAACAAGTAGTGATTTGGGGGTTTGTTATTGTATTTTTAAATAAATAATTGAACAGTACTGTGTTTCAGCAAAAAACATTGCAATGACAGCTATAAAATACATAGGTTGTTTCTTGTGTTGTCTTTATCCTAATGGTCAGGTCTTTGTGTTCTACTGGTCTTTTTTTCAATTATGCAGTAACCATTACTGTGTAAAAGTATATGCTGCTCAAGTGATTTATCTGCTATTCCAAGCTTTTCACATTTGACTGGAAAGACCCCGTGTGATCAGAGTGACTCACTTCAGATCGTAAACTGTAGAATTTAACGCAGTGGTTCATGGGTCAAGTCAAGTAGCTTATGATTTTGCTCAACTGAAGAAATGAAGAAAATACCCATTATAAACTTACCTCCTCAAATTCAAATGTACCTTGAATCCTAAAAATACACTTTCCCCCCATATTTCATAAAATGGGAAGGGACTGTGGGGGGTATGACAGGAAGTGACAGATGGACCAGAGGGACAACATGGAATTAAACTCCAAAACATGAAATGCTGAGTATATTCAGTCTAGTAAAGCATTTTTGAAAAATGAGTGGAACAATTGATCTAATAATGTGAAAATACCCATTTTGACATTTAGAGTTTGGCTGTTTTGTTATCTAGCCACAGTATTTTGGTGAATGCTACTGTAATGTCTGTTCTACCTCTTGACAGCACAGGATCTCTGGTATGTCAGCAATTCTCATTATCCTCCTTAGTTTTCCAGTTGTAGAAGACACGGTAGGTAGCAGATATCTCTACCAATATCTTAGGAATCTAATCTGATATGGAGAGTGATAATTATGGGAAAAGTGGTAGGTCAAGGGAGTGTTACACATATGTTCCCAACTACAGCATTTGCATTATTAATTGAAGTGCCTAAATTCTTTAAATTAAAAGAAGTTTCCAAAAAGTGCACAAAAGCTATGAAGAAAAACACTTGACAACTTATCAACCGTAAAGTTGGTTGATAACATAGTACTTAAAAATTTAAATACATAACTTAGTGAACAGGTTCAAGTTACATTTAACATGCTGCCAATGTTTGGATGTAGTGACTGTAAAAGAGTAACTATGATTCTAAATCAGTGTATCAACAGAGGAAGTATTATAATTTACAGGAAAATCAATAGAACTAAATATTTAGAGGTACCTGGAGTATGGGTTTGGCTCACAAGTCACAGCTAGGATCCTTAATTCTGAACAGGCTCCTACATTTTAAAAGGCTTTCTAGCAAATGGTGATAAACAAGAGACTTTCTAACTTTTAAGGCTTTCAGTGCTCTTGGCTGTTATGATAACAAAGAGGACATATGGATAACATTTAAATGAGAGCAAAAAAAATTAGTTTGCTAGATGGTCTAACTTTCTGCAATTCGGTTTGTAAACAGTTCTTCATCCAGTAATGCATTTGTTAGTAAGTGTTCTGTACAAGGGAGCAGGGAAAAAGCCCTGAAACAGTCTCCCATTCTCATCAAGTTTTTTGTCGCAGTACCTGAAAATGGTAGGGAATTTGAGAGGCTGGGGCATTGTGCTTGAGAGTACATCAGTTAATAATTAACTTTTTGTCCATTTCTTGTTTAAATATTTTTATTTGTATTACTTCTGCAGCATCTGGAAAGATTTGCCCTTGAGTTAAAGAAAAAAAAAAATCAAACTTGAATCATGACATGCTGTCCAAGCTATGATAGGCAGGCATAACACTCTGTACTGTTTGTTCTCTGGCCCTGTGCCTTCCCGCACATAGTGGTGTAAGGCAATTTGTAGAAGGAACGTCAGAAAATACTAACATCATTCTTTTGTTTCACAGCAAACTGCCAACTAGAAATAGCCTAATTGGCTGGGCATATGGCAGGGGGTCATGTCCTAATGAACATGTAGCTCAGAAATCTGAAGAGGAGTGGACGTGTATGCGCTGTACCCTAATAAACAAGCCTTCTGCTGAAATCTGTGATGCCTGTTTGACTTCAAGGCCTGAAGGTACTGAAGGGTCGTCTGGCATCTATGCTGGGAAGGGTGCGAGGACTGTGGTTTTGATGTAGTTTTGAGAACTGTAGAAGTGTCTTATTGTGAATCATATTCCTTTAACATAAACTTTAGCTTATTTGAAGTCAGATTTGGGAAATCTTGCACAGACAATCGTGGAAACTGTCTTGTCTTACACCCTAAAAGTGTCTTCCAACTTTATGTGCGGGTGTGATTCTGTAAATAAGTCTCTTCGGTGTCCCTTTGTTTTTATTGGGGCAAGGAGTGAGACACATCACCATACTTTCAACTCTTCTTAAAATCTTTCAGAGTTTGCTGCATAAGTCTGAATGAAAAATCAACAGGAGACAGAAAAGTAACTATGTGAACAAAAGCAGTGTATTTTGGTATATAAGTATATAAGCTTTGAAACAAAATCTTATTCCTTCTCCTGGACTTATAAATTATATATTTATAAGTTTCACTTGTTTAGTTATATGCCATTACTGAAAACAGGCCTGGAATTTGAACATGTGTTGGACCTGGTAGAATGCTGTTGGAAATACTCTTTTTTTTTTTTTTTTAAATAAGATTAATTTTTGCATCATAGGAGTGATATTCGAGCGCTTTTTTTAAAGATGGGTTTGCTGATGCCCCCTTTTTTTCAAACCTTAAGATTTCTTGCCTTCTCACTTTGTTCATTGTTTGTCTTTTTATTGTTATAAAAGATTATTTTGAAAAATTAAAATATTTTAATCCCTGTGATTTTATAAGGTTAATTGTCCAATAGTTTTCATTAACAGAGTACTATTAACGTTTGGTCCTATTTAAGCAATAGTGTTGCTATCTTGAAACACGTTTTATGTGCCTCCAAAAGTGCATGAGCATTTTTTAGTGTAAGAAATTTGATACTCTATCTAACGCAGGACAGATCTTTCAAAATGGTATAGTAAATTTACTCTTTCACTCTCCATATGATGACTTATGAAAATAGATCAGAAATATAATGTCTAACTCTATGAAGATGGATCATAACTGATAACTTCTTTCCTTAGTTCCAAAGACGGAGAATGTTGAAGATTCTGCAGCCTTTAACATAAACTTAATGAAGTACCCTTGTAATGAGTTCAGGAAACCAAGCACAGAAATAAAGATCAATAGGAGAACTGCATTTGGAACTACAACCCTTGTCTTAACAGATCTTGGTAACAAAGCTGTTTTGAGAAATGATACCCAAATATCTGATGGACACTCTCAGTGTGTTGCTCCAAAAAGCAACTGTAAACAGATCCAAAGCAATGCCTGCCAGTCAGAGGGAAGCACAGGCAAGGACTGCTCAACACATGTAACTGCTGTGGCTTTGTCCTCCTGTCAGCAACCTGTCTCTTTCCAACACATACAGAAGAAACAGAAAACTGAGCATGTACCCTCAGTTCACCAATACAGTACAGCAGTCAAGTATGTATTCTAAAATGAAAACAAGCCTTTATAATCCCATAAACAAATTTTATCCCCAAAGATTAATGGAATACTGTGCTGCTGGGCTCAGACAGTGTTGTCTTTGGATTTCTGCCAGGGGTAACTTATTCTAGGCTAACTATAATTTAACATGATTTCAAAAGCAGTGAATGACCTAGGCTGTCACTAGAAAAGTCCTGATTTTGACATCTGACCAGTACTGCTGTTAGCTTAACAGCTGTTCATAGTTCAGCTATTCCTATAGAATGTAATGTAATGGCCAGTCTTCGCGAACGAAGAACCGGGGAAGGTCTTTCCACCTTCCAGCCTGCGCATTGGATTTTTTAGGTGAGACACAGTGTGCGCGGAACTGAGCCCACCCTTTAATCCTAAGGTTCATCTGCCGGGGCCAAGCGAGCTTGGACAGTGGCAGCGAGGTCCTCAGGATGTAGATGGATTGCCTTACAGGGCTAACGAGCTCCATCTGCCCGGGGAGTGGCCCCGACCAGGAATCGAACCCGGGCCTCGGCGGTGACAGCGCAGCGCCTTTACCCTCTAGACCACCAGGGGCTCCCATTCCTATAGAATAGTACAGTATATCTTTAATAGGTCAATAAGCACAGTTCTACCTAAGGTGTTGTTTGATCTTAGCACTGTAGTTGCCCCTGCTTAGAGAGATCTTGAAGTCATTGTGAAAGATTACAAAAGGAAGTTGGCTGAATTCTAATTAAAGTTATTTGTCAGCTACCGGTTTTCAACATTTTTCTGTGATAGCAGGCTCTGTAGCAGTGCCTTGATGAACTTTCTGTCACTGTTTTTACTCTTAACTTTCACCTCCATTTTATATAACCACTTTAATGCTCTACGCATCCTGAGTTTTTATTTACACAGCCCTGTTCAGACACATCATTTGCCTAGTTAAGAGAAATGTGAGAATCTATGAGGGTTGTCAAGGAAAAGCTGGGCAGACATACACAGCAATAATGGGAGTGCAAGGTAGATGTCACTTACAGTGATAAATTATGCAGCCTGAATATGAAATATTGATGATATGCTACAAAATTCCTGGTCATGTGTCTGTTCTGAAATACAGAAATTACTTTTTGCATTGTTGAAGCACCAGTTTTGAAATGGGATCTCACTGGCTAGCCAGGCTGGACTGTATGAATATAATTTCTCCTTGCACTCTCAGCAGAGGACTGTTGAGGATGTAGGCAGGATAACTGAGAGTTCAGAGAAGTGCGAAGAAGAAATGAGACAGTATGGATCACAAAAACAGGTAGTTGTAGCAAGTCATAAACTTAAATGTTTTAAAATTCAAAAACAAACTGAAAAAAACAACCCAAACCAACAAAAAAACCTGTTGACCACTTTTATCTTCTTGTGTTTTAATGAGGCATTGGAAGAAAACTGCTGATGTCTGCAAGGTTGCAATCTTCCAGACATAGAAGAGAACATAAAATTCCTAAGCTGATAACTTGAAAAGAATAAATTAATATTTTCTTTTTTCACTAAGTTCCCATCACTGCTTTTCTGTTCTATAAATATATTGGAAAGCTATGTTTCAGAGCATTCATCTGTTTCACGTTATTGTTTTTAAATGAAGCCTTGTGTATTGCATTCAGATAATCTCTGACTATCTCAATCATGAGGAAGAAAGAAAGAAACTTTATCCCATTCAGACAACTCTGTTCCATCCCCTCAGTTGGACTACTTCTTATCTAAATACAATTTCGAGCATTACTGTAACTTTTTAGTAAAGAGAGTGGGAATCTTTTCTGTGCCTTCAACCTGGAGTAATGACTTGGTATTGGTCTTTTTCCCGCCAGTCTTTTAGACCATCTCAGAATGTGGAGTGGGGAGTATAATAGCAGTTTTAATATTTATTTTGTTTTGTTGATGAATTTGAATACTTCAGAATAATTTAAAACATGGTGGGGAGAACTGATAGAAAAGCACACAGTCTTGTGTCTTTACTCCTAGCAATCATTCAGCTTTAAAGACGCAATAGGGTGCATTAGAGAAGCAAGCTTTTTGGCTGTCATTGTGTGTAAAAGTACACTGAGTGAGCTATTGTAATGGTAGGAGAGAATTCTTTGGCTGGTAACCCCTTTAACTTTTCGCAAGAGTCATTTTGTAACTTGTCATTACAGCCCACCTCAAGCTAACGTGACAGGTGATACTCGTACATCAAGCATGGGCCATCCTCGCTGCAGTAAACACAACCGTTTCTGCAGCCTCAGAGTGGTGAGAAAGGACGGACAAAACAAGGGCAGGCAGTTTTATTCCTGCCCTCTACCCAGGGAAACTCGGTGTGACTACTTTCAAGTACGTATAAGACTTAAGGGCTTATTTTGTAATAAGCACTGGTTCCTGCAGCCTCCTTGCCCCAGTGATCTGTAATTGTGGATAGATATATTCCTTTTAAAGTTTGAGGTAATTCTAAATACTTTCACACACTGAATTGAAACTAAGACCATAATAGTAGTTATAAATTTACAGTTTTAGTTACTTCTCTTACTATTGAAAAGAGACCTGCTCGTGCAAATGCTCCTAGTCTGCTTCCGTGTGATGTAAAAGAGATGCATAGCAGAAATATTGGTTTGAAGGGACTTGTACAAGTTGTGCAGATCAGCTTCTTGCTCAAGGGAGGACTATGGCAAGTTAGATCTAATCATGAGCCATGTTTCTGTCTAGCCAAAGTCTTGAAAGCCTTTTAGGATGAAGATTCTATAATCCACCTGGGCAACTGCTCCCACTGCTGCACTAATACCTAACCTGACCTTCCTAGCTGTAATTGGTGGCCGCTGCTCCTTACTGTGTATGTATGTGTCTGAGAAGAGTTTGACCTGCTAAGTGACCTGGCAGTCACTTACTATCAGGTAGTTTATAGATGAAGTTAAGGCAGTAATGACCTTACTTTGGCCTTACTTTGAAGAAAACTATGTGTTAACATCAATTAAAGTTGCACCAGTCAAAGTGTGTGCAGTTGCAACTGATGATAAAGAAAAATCTTAAATCAGTTATCACAAAAGAGATAAAACTATCCTAATTACTAGGAAGAGTTTCTTCAAGGGTGGAATGCCCTGTAGATCTGTTTCTATTGTCAGTTCTAAAATATGGAATTCATAGCCATCACATGTCCCTAAACCCTGTTTCTTTTGGCAGTGGGCCGACTTGGATTTTCCATTTTGTAATCATGGCAAGCGATGCGTTATGAAGACTGTGTTGAAGATTGGTCCCAATAACGGAAAGAACTTTTTTGTGTGCCCTCTCGGGAAGGAAAAACAGTGTGGCTTCTTCCAATGGGCAAAAGATGGACCAGGTGTGCAGATTCTTCCTTGATGCTGATGTTATAGTTATCTGCTCCTCAGGACGTCTTAAGTGCATACAACTTTTGTAGTAATTTCTGTTTTCTTTTTACTTTTTCTTTGTTCACGGGTTAATAAGTAAAATAGCTCCAACATAAAGAACAGCAGATCTAGAAAGAGTAATTTTACATAGTCCTATAAAAATTTAATACTGCTTGTATGCCGCCTACAATTTTGAAATAAACATTTAGCGTGCAATATATTGTGACATACTGTTGTATTTCTAATAAAAAATTTAACTGTTTTCTTCTTTCATGTAGTGTGGACTACTAAATTGATAGACTATCATAAGTGTAAACATGTATTTAATAAAAGTGAATAAAAAGATTATATATATATATATTATTAATACCACTTCATGCTTTATTTACTCAGAGCTTAAAATGAATCAGCAATGGACTGACCTTGATTAGATTTGGAAAACAAAGACAAAAACCTACCTTAAAATGAAGAACATGACTTCTGTTTTCTAAATTATATATTCTAAATTCAGGTCCAAATGTTTTATTGCTACTGAACATTTTTGCCCCCACATGCTCGTGTAATGAATAATAAAATACGTCTGACGTGCTTAAAACTCAGTTTATGTTTGTTTGTCTTACTACTATTTGTTGAAGCAAGGGGAAAAGTAAAAAAAATATGCAAAGTTATCAAATGAGAAATAAAGCAGAAACAGAATTCTTCACATCTTTGGTGCATGTACTATTGAAAACAAGGAAAAGGAGACTAATGAAGATATGGCCGTAGCTTTATAGATTATTGATTCACAATCAGTTTTTAAAGAAAGTAATGGGAAATAGTGTTGCTCCCCACCAAAAATGGTCTGGATGAAACAGGTTTAAAAGCATCTTGTAAATGGTCCTTAAGTTTACGGTCTATGTAAATACTTCAGAATTGTTCCCCTTTTTTTTTTTTTTTTTTTTTTTTTTTTTTTTTTTTTTTTGAGGGGGGAAGGACTACTTGGAACTCTTGGGAAAGTTGTGGAACTTCAGTCTAATTTAAACCTTCCATTCCATGGTGAAACTGTTCAATTCTTCCCCTAATCAGCACAAATTCAGAGGCTTTTTTGTTCCTCTTTTCAGTAGCCTTTGATACTTTTGAAATCTTTTAAAACTTTCCTCACGTGAAGGAAATCTTTAAGCAGGTTGTAGAAACTATACTCCTTATGTTGCTCAGTGGACTGTTTCCAAATATCTTTTTCATGAGGTACACAGCTCCACCTGAGAACAAAACAAGCTACTGCACATGGTGACTACTGATTTTCTTCCATTGCCATCTTTCTATATGATGCTTCTTGTTACAATGATGTGTTGCTGCTAGCTTGTGCTTATACATCTAAATTTAAAAATTGTATATCTAATTGTTATCTGTCCTCCTTGTATTTGTAGAATTCCTTACATTGTTAAAGTGTTTGATTATTTTTAAATTGAACGTGCTTTTGGATGTCTTGTACAGGGATAAATCCTCAGTAGTTCAGTAAAACTTAAAAAATAAAAAAGAAATACAACCATTTTTGATTACTTGCTACAGATATTAAGATTTCACTAAAGCTGTAAGCTAAATGACTTTTTCAAACTTTGACACTTGAAAAATAACATTTAGGTTATTACATGTTTTTATTTTAGTTTAATAGCCAGAGAAGAAGTCTGTTTACATATAACACATACAAGTTTTAAAGGATCAACTGCTTTTATTAACTACTGCAATCACTTTACTTGTTCTTGTATTTCTTGAACATGTTATATGTTTGGTGTTTTTTTTTTTTTTTTTTTTTGAAATCTGTTTGGAAATGGTGGTATATTTGCATCAGCCTAATTTTGCTATATGCTATGTATCCTAGTTGTATAACATCACAGAGAGAAAAGGCAGACGGAAATAACAAATAGTAAGGATATGCTGAGCTTATCACTGAACTAACATCTGGAGGAATCTGACATGTTTACACCTAAGGGAAGTAGGAAACTAAGCAAGAGACAGTGAATTCTAATTCACTAGATGCCTCTACAAACCTTACCGCTTTTGCAAATACTAGGGTTTTTTTGCTTTTTTTTTAGCTTTCGTTTTCTCTTTCTCTTGCAGTGGACAGCACTTTGTAACTTGCTTAACAAGCTATGGCTGATAGCTGGTTATAAAAAGTTTTAACCAAAAAAAGCTGGCAACAAAACTTATCTTGGAATAGATCCCCACTCAACTTTTCAAAAAGAAACCTTGCAACCAAGGGTGCAAAAAAAAAGTAGACAGTTATTGAAAATATCTCTTTTGTTTGCTCAGGATAAAAGTCCTGATTTTCAGCTTTTGTCCCAGTAGTTTACAAATGTGTTTTTATTTTTTCACGTTGATTCATCTCTTACAGTGCAAGTGATGGAACACACTTCTTTCAGATTTGTATCTGGCTTACACATTTTAATGGCTCATGTTGCACTCAATCAACTGCGAAGACTAAAAAGAATAACAAGACCTAAGTTAACAGAGGGAACTGTCTATCCCAAACATTTTCTGTAATTTATATTCCTAACAAAAGCACATGTAAATTGCCATTAAAGAAATACAACCCTTTTTCAAGGCCTTAGGGTTCTGACACAGTTGTTACTTTGACCTGTACCCAAAGACAACTAAGAGAAATGGGATTATTTCCAGTGTCTACAGGAGGCTGTTAGGACTGACAGGCTCACATAAGCTCCTTTGACTCCATGGTTTCTGAAACGAGGTCGTGATGGCAGTTCTGTAATATAAAGGAGACTGTCAGTAAAGCTGACTTCTAGTACTCTTATGTACAACTTTTAGAGATTTTTTTTTTAGACATTAACACTACAAAGTGATAGCATGACTCATAACAGAAACCTGTCTCTCACCTTAAGCTGAAAACACTTTTTCTGGTTTTATATACCACAAAACTAACTTCATAAAGCCCTTGCACTCAGCTGAGATGTATGCAAAACAGCTTTTTGGCAATCAAATCAAGGTCACACAAATTGTAAAATAAAAATTTGAACTCAGAAAATGCTGATTCCATATACTATGCCCAGTTTCTGGTTTATGGTAGCACTTCAGTTACTATTCCAGTTTAAGTAAGTTTAGGCAGAGTGTATCTTTCAGTTTGAAACTAATGTTTATTTTCCTATTTGTGCCATTCAGTTTAGAATTAACAGATTTAATGCCCGGTTTCATGTCTTCACACCCTTATTTAAAGTACTTTTATAACCAGCTATTTGTAAAGACAGACATGTATTTTTCTTAATCCATACACGCACAACTTGCATTTGATATCAGTGCAAATTCAGCAAATAGATGAGCATCATAATACTTATATTAATAGTTTACTGAAGGAGAACTAAATTTACACTGAAAATATGCACTCAAGTTTTGAAACATGACTATGTCACAGCTCCAACTACAGACCTCTACAATTATACACATACAACTATTTCTGTATCCACTTTTCTGTGTAAAAGGGTGCAAGTTCCCTCTTGTTTTTGTGGAATGGAAACCATAAGCAAGAATGTTTTAGACTGATGGTGAAAGAAGCAGAAGATGCCATCCCATCTTTAATATCTGTATGAATGTTCATCATTAGTGGCTAAGCATCTTTCACATGAAATCAAAAGGTATTGTAAAGTCTCTAAAAGACTTCACAGCAACTGTGAACAAAATCTCTGAACAAAATTTCTCAAACCATAAGTAATTCTATACCAACAAAAAAACAAAGGCTGTTGACAAAAAATAAGAACTTCGGGATGATCTTAAAAATAAAAGTTTTGAAATACCTTTAGAAAACACTCAAGTTACGAGTTACAAATGGAAGCTAAAATTTAAATTCCAATTTTAATTCTAGACTACATTTGAAGAGCAACTTTGCAATATAAAAGTTAAACTCATTACGATAGCAACACTGCAGAGCCTATGAAAGTGAAACAAACATTTAGCAAAAGTTCCATTCAAGGCAAAGTTGCTGGTAGACTTCTTAAGAATGGTATTTTCACATGAAGTGGTCTTGAGTATAACAGTGTAATTTGCTTTGATTGTAAATGAACTAACATGTAAGTTGGCTTTGTAGATGAACAGTATAAAAGTAAAAAAATACACTCAACACTAGAATGCACAAACAAGCTTAAAATCCATTTGTACAAACAGGAAATTTAGAAAATAAAAAACGCCCTTACCATTATTTTTTCCTTTACCTTACTGTACATATAGAATATATAGTTTATCCTTTGCTTTCTCTGATGGCTCATGTTACTTGCACTGCATTTGCCACTTCTCAGCTTCTTTCCAAAGTTCAGCTATTACCTAGTATTGCAATACCCTACAACTTCAAGTAGAAATCCATGCAATGTCTCATGGTACATTTCATCTTCACTAGAAAAATAAAATGTTTTTATTTTTAATCTGTCTAAAAGAGTCTAAATAGGAGAAGGCTTTACAAATACAAAATAACCACCCTTATACAAAAGCAGCTGTGCAGCAAATGCTTTCCTTAAAAACATGAACTGCCTTCAAGTAGACCAGAACAAAAATATTTACTATTATAGTATTACGACTTCTCAAAGTTGTGTTTAAATAAACTTGAATTCGCTGATTAAAAAAAGTGAGCAATTTTTTTTCTCCATATATTACTAAGGATGATTATAAGTAACTTTATCCACTGTCAGATGCTAAAAGTAGCAATTGCGTTGCAGAGGAAGTTCATAATAAGGACAAAAGGTTTTGGAAACTTACCTTTGAAACCTTTATATCTTTGTGAGATATGAAACCACTAAAAAGGAATCAGAAGTCAAAAAATGTACCTAAACACACAAGAAAAAAATGTTTTCCTTTTGCAGTGGAAGTGTACTAAACACGTAGTCTTGACACTGGCTACTAAAGGTTCTTGGATTCCCACAAAGAGCAGTACAAAGATTGGGTGATCAAAGCAAGGTGTAACCATTCAGAGTGTCCCTCTATAGCCTGACTTCACATGTTCATACATAGCAATGCAGAACGAGCCATAAGCATAAAAGAGACTTTTGCCATAGAACTATTCAGGTATGCAGATAATATAGTATCTACAGAAGTTTCAGCTATTTATATTTTGCTAATTGTAGCTTATTTCCATAAGTTCAATATCAAAATAAAAGGAGAAGAGCAGTTATGGGACAAAATAGAAGGTGGAATTCAGGTGGGGAAGAATAAAACCATGACACGATAGTGCACAAAAAGAAGCCAAAAAAAAAAAAAAAAAAAAAAAAAAAAAAAAAAAAAAAAAAAAAAAAAAAAAAAAAAAAAAAAAAAAAAAAAAAAAAAAAAAAAAAAAAAAAAAAAAAAAAAAAAAAAAAAAAAAAAA